ATTGTCTGATAGGTAGAAAGCTAAGTCGCAGCTGTGTTAAAAATTGCAATTACACATATGTCGCGCGATCTAGATTTTAGGCCATCGATATAGGGAAGTATCATTCCGAGGAAAATATTAATTTCGACCTACAAAATATATAAACTACCCAACAAAAATATATAAGCTCGAATTCATAAATTTATGCTATTCATGGGATTTATGAAAAGTCGACAAAATTGCAAGTCACCCCCCGAAGTTGTAAGGTCAACAAGACCTTGGAACAAAGTTTTGCCACTCAAGTAACTTTAATTTCTATGTTGTATACAAGGGTGAGTCCATCGAGTTAAATGCAAATACACCCCCTGTGTTAATTCTAAAGACCAAAAACCCCCCCGGGATAAAAAAAGTGACAAAAACCCCCCTGACAAGTGTTTAAACAAGCATACTCGACCCATTTTATTTTTATCCGTTGACCGCTCGTGAAAAGACGAATAAACCCTCGGATAAATCTGTCCAACCACAAAAATTTTATGACCCAAATGAAGTTGTTAAAATTTTCAATTCAGTCCCTAATACTTTCAATTATACCCTCTTCCCCAAATCAAAAAAAACACAGACACACAAAAACACACTTTTTTTTTTTAATTCTCTGCTCACCTCACTCACCCCACCCCACCACTGTCGTCGCCGGCTCCGTTCATGGGCTGAAACCTCTCTCCGGCAACCAAGAATTAAAAACATAAAACATTAAAAAAATTTCTAATTTCTAAAGCAAATTTCTAATTTACCCATAATCAACATAAAACATTAAAAAAATTGAAGCATTTTCACCCAGAATCAAATGAAGCATTAAAAAATTAGATGCCTTTCAGACATCTTCGACATACAAAAATGATGAAAATATCACACTGAACAAAGAAAAATCATGCACAGACCAATTTGATTCATCAAACCCTAATTGCAGCAGTACAAAAATGAAAAAAAAAAATTATCAAGCAAACTAATGAAGATCTAAATTATCCTCGCAGTCACGAACATAAGACATAAATATGCATTTCTCTCTCTACATGTATGTGTTTTAGAGAGAGAAAGAAGAGACCATCCATGGAGGCGCTTGTGAAGGTTGATTGTGTACTCCCTAGAGACGACCTCCTCTTTCCTCGCCTTGCTACCCTTCTCCACCATTGTTGCTACCCTTCTCCTCATTTTTTTTCTTCTTTCTGAATATGTTTAAATATAATTTATATTTTTTTCATTTTATTTGTTTAAATTTAAATATTATTAAAAATTCATATTTCTATGCCATTTTAATTTTTTTTCGTTTTTTAATATGTTTAAATATAATTTATATTTTTTCATTTTATTTGTTTAAATTTAAATATTATTAAAAATTCATGAGTAGTTTAATTGTTTCATGAGTTTTGATTCAGAGGGGTAATTTTGTCCTTTCACGCACAAAATGTACAAAAATCACACAAGTAATCGCACACACAGCGAGTGAATGACACGCATAAAGATTAGGGGGGTGTATGGCTTTGACTATTGATTACAGGGGGTTTTTTGTCACTTTTTTTATCTCAGGGGGTTTTTTGGTCTTTAGGATTAACACAGGGGGAGTTTTTGCATTTAACTCTGAGTCCATCTTAGCCAATCTTCAATTGAGAAATTCTCCACTATATATATTTATTAGTCTCCCAAAATCTACATTAATGTAAAAAAATCCTAATTTTTTTTTATTCTTTTTTCAGAGACGCTGCCCACGAAACTCCGCTATAACAATTTTCTGAAGTCGCCACTGATTGTATATGATTGAATACTTATATTTTATTTTGCCAGTATATTTCTGAAAATACGAATCTAATATTATCACATTTTTACGATCTAAGTCAAGATTTTAATTAGTAACAAATTAAAACACAAAATATAAACTAGTCGAGAGAGAGAGATGCCTAATGCAAAAATGCATAATGCAAAAGCAAAATAAAGCCGGGCCATTCCAGAATCAGCTTTGGGCCACGGTCACATTCGGCCCAAAACCCGACCCGGTTCGTTCTGTAGACTTGAACCGTGATATCCGAACCGAAGCACATCTAAGTAAAACAGTAAAAGCGTTAGGTCTGTATTACCAGAATCACGCTTCTCATTCTTAACTGTACTCTCTCTCTAGGGTTTTCTGCTTCTTCTTCCTTCCGATCTGCCAACACCTCAAATTTCTTTGTATGCTTCCTCAATTGAATCTCGATAATTCACACATTTAGCTCAAGATTACGCGATGCCCAGGTATAATTTCTTTATTTACTTGCATTTATTTTTCTCTGATTGCGCGCATCCTCAATTTTGTGGCGTTTTTTTGTTTTTTTTCTACATCTGAATTAATTAATTTTTTTTTCCTATTATTTTTCTTAATCTTCAGGTATTACTGTGACTACTGCGACACTTATCTGACGCATGATTCCGTGAGTCTTGTTTCTTGAATTTCTCTCTTTTCACTTGTTTTTTTTTTTTTTTTTTTTTAATTAGATTTAGTTGTTCGTGATTTTTGTTTATGCTTAGCTAATTACTTGAGAAATACATGCTTACGATGTTTACTGCACCGGCCGGGAGGTATTAATTTTTGATATTAAATATGTTGCGAAATGGATAGAGGGTTTTGGAAATTGTGCGATGTTATTTTGCACGATAAATGTGGATGAATTTTCCATCTACTCAGTTACGATCTTCTTTTAGCTTTGTTTACTTATTGATTTGCTTGTTTCGTTAGGGCAGGGGGTTAATTAATTAATTCACCTCGTCTTGAAAATCCTAATTTAAAAAAATGTTGGTGTGTTATTTGCAGCCTTCGGTGAGAAAACAGCATAATGCAGGATACAAGCACAAGGTAATTAATCTCTTTACCCGTCATGAATTTGCCGTAACTTACTTTAACGGGGGTACTAAGTTAGGTTATATTGATAATAATATAATCATCATGTATTGTTTCGCAGGCGAATGTACGAACATACTACCAACAATACGAGGCACAATTAAATCAAAGTTTGATAGACCAAAAAGTGAAGGAACATCTAGGTGCATTTAGACCCCCACCAGGTGTTGCTTATAATCCGATTCAAATGAGGCCCGGTTTAATGCCCATGCCTCTTCCAGGCCAGTATCCTCTCGGTATGCAATTTAGACCTCCTGTTTTGCCCCGGCCACCCGGTGCTCCTGGTACGTCAAAATTCCAAGAATACCCTTTCTTCATTATTTGGAATCTACGTGCATCTATTATTTTTCTTGTACTCATTTCTTTTACATGTGCCTATGCAATTAGAGATTTTGGTTCATCTGTATATCTGATAATATACATAACCTCCCTTTCGTTTCAAACAGGAGGCTATGCGCCACCTCAGATGCCGCAAATGGTGCTACCACCGGGAGCTCCTATGCCAGGTCAGATGAATGGTCTACAAAGACCAGGGGGGCTTCCACCCCCTCCTCCGATGATTCCTGGAATGCCAAGTGGGGGTGCACCACCGCCAATGTTTGCACCACCGCCAATGTATCAAGGGAATGTTTCTTTACCTACAAGCGGAGGAAGTGATAGTTCTAGTATTAATAACGCTCAAGCTACCGACGCTAATCAGTAGTAGAGTCTTCTTATTCTCTTCCGTATTCTTTTGGTCGGATGTTGATGAGAATTTGTGCAAAGAATTTTGTTATGTTTAGAAAGGGCTGCTCTGCTCTTTGGTCGAATATCACCTTTTGTCTGCGATTTGTATTCCTTAGCTTTGATGTATATTTCAAAATGTGCCTTGGAACTGTTTGTAGTGAGTTTTTTTCTGGTAAGTTGTTGAGTGAGACCACCTATTGTAGTTTCAGAGCAGAGCAAAAACATACAGGGTCCATTTGGTCCATTTGAATTTAGAGGGTGATTTGATTTGGGGAACCGATTTGGAGTTATTTGAAATCCACCACAATTGCTCAAAAATCAATCAAAAGGGAGGGGTGTGGATCTGAAATTCCTTGTCAAATTCCTCAATCCAAACAAGTATAGGAGATTTGTTATTATGGATTTCAAATTCCCCTCCAAATCCCTCCATCCAAATGGAACCGTAATTTTCTATAAGTATAAAGGTCAATGGTAATGAATAAACCGAGTTAATGATTGGTATTTTATGTGCCAAGTTCTAAATTGAGATACAAATTCATGCTTCTGTTGGATAGATAGAAAATTTGAGTTAATTTAATTTTTAATATATTCTTTGAGTGATTTCAATAAATACGTGTTGAAGTACGTGTTGTCTATGTGAGTATCATGTTGGTATTTTGTGGCATTCTGAACTCTAATCGTAATACCATTGTTCATCAATCTTAAAATAGTTATTAAATATATTTTATGTTTCTCACACACTCACTGATCACTAAATTTTTTATGAAATTGGTACAATTTAGTTCATTATAATTATGGTACAATTTATTCTACAGGAAAGTACATGCATTACACCGGTGGTGCACGTGTTGTCCATTCGTAGGGTATGCTTCTTTCAATGACAAAGTAGATGTTCTCCGTTAATATGTTACGCTTGCATTATATATATTATTTTGGGAGCAATACAACAATATAAACTCATTTTATGAGGCATTCCTTCATTTTATGACTAATTATTTGAAATGAGTAACGTGGGTGTTCATCAACATTAATTATGGTCACATTTGAGAAAAATACTAGTCCTACATACAAGCCTTGTAATATATGTGAATATCATGTAGGAAATCAAAAACATTTGTGGAACTTTGGACTCCAAACGTAACACCAATGTTCACCAAACTTAAAATACTCATCTAAGACATAATTTATGCATCTCCTATACTAATTGATCATTAAAGTGTCAGAGAAATTGGTACAACTCTATTCATAAAAAAAATAGTATGAATTGTTCCACAAGTACAATGTATAAACTGGTAAAATTAGGGTTATTCATGCATATAGTACTATGAGTTCATTCATAAAGTATATGTTGTCGTCATACTATATTATTTATATTATCGTGGAGCAAATGTATCCATAAAATATCATTTTAAGACACATTTCTTCATTTTTAGACTATTAACATGACATGAGACAATGTAAGAGTGGATCGACATCGATTATAGCAACATTTGAGTAAAATATTAGCTCCACACATGAGCCTTATACACTTATATGAGTATCATGTAACATATCCAACAATTCATGGTGTCTTGTACACTTATGAGTATCATGTATGAAATTCAACATATTTATAACATCTTGTACTCCAAACGCAACACTAATGCTCACCAACCTTAAAATACTCATCTAAAACATAATTTACGCATCTCTCATACTAATTGATCAATAAAGTGTCAAGGAAATTGGTACAACTCAATTCATCACAAACTATAGTTCGATGTGTGAAACATGTAAGTACATTGAATACACATGTGAAGTACAGTTCTAAGGTTGATACGGTATCTTCGAATAAACTAGAAAGTAATTGTTGTTCATTAGTATGGTACGTTTATATTATTTATATTATTCTGGGGCCAAGTCAACCATATAAACTCAATTCATCACAAAATATAGTACCATGTGTTCAACAGGTCAGTGCAATTCATCAAAACATATGGTAAAATGTTTTTGCAAATATAAAAGTACGAGTAGAGATAACCGATAATATTATTAGCTCTACAACAAAAGGACAAATTCCTGCAACTACATACACATAAATACAATTATCACAAATACAATGTACTATAAAGTTCTACTACCAGTACTTATAATACTCTTTTTCAACACCATTCAAATGCACTAGCAATACCATTTTTGCATATGGCATATACTACGGCACACCACAATGAATAATGCAATAAGCCTATTTCCCATATCTTATATCAAAGTCATCAAACATCATACATCAAATCTTTGTTAGGACTAAAAATGCTTTGGGATTTGGGGACATGCTAATGTCGCCGAAGAAGAATACTTAGGAGAGGAAGTGTTCAAAATCATGCAATTCGACAATAAATAATGATATTTGCAAACTCAAACAACAAAATAACATATATTGGAACCGATATAATGATTATGGGAAAAAATCAAATCTTGTTTCTTCCCCTTCATCATTCTTCGAAAATGTGTCTCTTTCCTCTTTTCTTTTTGCTTTTTTCTTCTTCTACTACTTTGGTTCTTCATTTTCTTTGTTCTTATTGTTTCGTTTGTTGTTTGAAGAAAAATAACAGAAAGCGGAATTGGAACGGGCAAGGAAGAGACAAAGAAAAAGAGAAAAGATGAAAGAGATAATGTAGAGAGAGAAAAGGAAAAGATATCTAACTTTAGATTAAAGTAATAACTATTTTAAACTTTTCACCTGCCCCTAGGGATTGAACTGCATGTTAAACTTTGCATTATGGACTGATACGCCTATGAAACATATGTAGGGATTGATCCGCGCTTTAAGTTTGAGTTTGGGGATTTATATGTAGTTACCCCAAGTAAAAATGGTTTTCAATTTTCGTTCCAAAAAAATCACAATGCAAAAACTCATTCCAATTTCAGAATGCCTCAAAATCAGCGGAATTTCAAAAATTTCAGAAATTACATTAGTTTATAATTGTTTGTTCCACATTGAGATGTAAATGGAAATTTTCGCAATATTCTTCTATTTTTTTTTAATTTTGCAGGAAATATAAGAATATCCAAAAGAGGGTTCGACAAAACGCGTTTCTGATACCAAAAAATATTTTCTAAGATTTTAATTTACTGGAACCTTCGGTATTTGTGTTTTTCATATAAAATACAACATATATTGAATGACAAAATATATCATAAAATTATATTATATATTTGGAAACACCATAGAAATATTCAGAAATAAAATTGGAGCGGAACTCGGAATTTCCAGCAATTTTATATACCTTCCAATTCCATTACAAATAAATTTGGAAGAATAAAAAATCGAAATGAAAAAAATGCGGTTCCAAATTTAGATGTATTTTGATCGAAATTGGTGAAATTCAAAAATTTCATTATGACTACAACCTTAACAAAACATAACTACAAAATGAACGCACCCAAAGCATAACTGAAATATTTAATGAACAGCCCCAAAGCACAACTGAGATATTTAACTAGAGTTGGTGGGTTCACTCAATATAGAGAGACACCCTACAAAAAGTGGCGTATGCCGCTTGAATTGCGGCGAACACACGGTATTCTTTAGTAAAAGGCGAAAGAATAGTTCGCTATGTGTTCACCGCGCGGCTGCATAACTTAAAATCTAAGAAGGGATTCCCATTTTATATTCACTTCTCTTCTCCATTATATGAACTCTTTATCGATGTGGGACAATAATGAATAGCCTATTTGATCAAAAAACATTCAGCTGCTTTCTGTGGCAATGAATAATAAATAACACACACATTTCTTCCCCTTGGATTTATACTCATGACATTACAACTTTCTATTTCTGTTTGGTTTTCTCAGAAATTATGTGCAGATAGATGCTCTATGTCTATTGCATCAACCCAATAATCCTTAACTCAAGCTAATGTGTCATGCGCACAGTAGAAGAGCAATCAGTTGAACAAAAAAAACTCGGTCTCCCTCTTCACCTCCTCAACCGGCCAAGACCTCCACCACACTCACCAATCATCTGCCAACTTTTATTCAACATGGTCTTGCATGCTCAGTCCCTCATTTTGCAGTTATTATCCGATAAAATAACGTCCCCTTTGTTCGCAGTCTCTTCTCTTCTTTCATACTCATACTTGACGCATAACTCGAAGTGCTTCAATTCTTCTCTCGTTTATTATGCCAAAGCGCAGTTGCCAACTGAACGAAGAGTCATTTTACAATGATCTAGGAACCAAACCGACTCATGGTTGTAAAGCCTTTTCATTAGACGCAATTTCTTTCAACTTTACTGAGGTATTTGGAGATTAGGGCTACTTTTTACAGTTTACTCACATTTTAACTATTTATTTTACAATTTTGGATAAACTAATAAACATAATTACTTGCACGTTGTTAGTTGTTACCCTAAAAAGTAAAATTTTAACTAGATTTGATGGGGTGCGCCAGGCCCGTGCAGTAGTGCGTCCCAGACAGCAAGCTGCCTTGATGGACCTTCCCCCTAAAAAAATGAATTTAATATCGTGTGAGCCGATGGCTCACATATCAGATATTAAACTGATAAGAACAGATACTACACTTGATCTTAGCCAAAAGGCCGAGAAAGGTATGGGCTTCTACGATAACGGGCCCTCTTATTTTATAGTCTATTTCTCTAGCGTTTATGACTACCACAACCAATGTGGGACGAATAAGAAACTGTATTCTTATTAATCTGTTAGGAATAAAATCAAATGATATATAATTTATACAAATAGTTTATTTATTAATTCAAGAAGGGCTGCTTGTTTATTACATCAAAACATACATTAAGGCCTTAACTCACGCTAGCATGAGAAACGAGATAGCCATGTACGAATTTGAGCCCAAAACCATTGTGCACCACCGCCAATGTTTGCACCACCGGCAATGTACCAAGGGAATGTTTCTTTACCTACAAGCGGAGGAAGTGATAGTTCTAGTATTAATAACGCTCAAGCTACCGACGCTAATCAGTAGTAGAGTCTTCTTATTCTCTTCCGTATTCTTTTGGTCGGATGTTGATGAGAATTTGTGCAAAGAATTTTGTTATGTCTAGAAAGGGCTGCTCTGCTCTTTGGTCGAATATGACCTTTTGTCTGCGATTTGTATTCCTTAGCTTTGGTGTATATTTCAAAATGTGTCCTTGGAACTGTTTGTAGTGAGTTTTTTTTTTCTGGTAAGTTGTTGAGTGAGACCACCTATTGTAGTTTCAGAGCAGAGCAAAAATATAACTGGGTCCATTTGGATGGAAGGATTTGGAGGGAGATTTGATTTGAGGAATCAATTTGGAGTTATTTGAAATCCACCACGATCGCTCAAAAAATAATCAAAAATGAGGGGTGTGGATTTGAAATTTCTTGTCAAATCCATTAATCCAAACAAGTACAAGGGATTTGTTCTTACGGAGCGATTTTTTGTAGTCGGATTTCCAAAAATCCGATTTCCGAATTTTCCGAAAAAAATCGGATCGTAATCGAAATTTGATATAAAATCTCCGGAATTTCCGAATTCCGATCCAAAATAATTCCGAATATTTCCGACTTTTTCCAAAATTTTCTGAAATTTTCCGATTTTTTTTTATATTAATAAATTATTATATATGTATATTCGGTCACTATAATTTCTATTTTGGGCTGGGCCATATTTTTTTAATTTAAAAATATTATTTAGACCTATGTTGTATTGAGCCCATTTTATATACACAACTACAAGTTTACACCTATTTTATTTCTATCCTAATTTTCAATTTTTCTCTTTGGAGCGCCGTTGCTGCTTGCCTTCTTCTTTCTTCTTCTTTCTCTCAAACTTAGGTTGTGTTTAATGAAGCCAATTGCCTATTCGGTCGGATGTTACCTTGTTCAGCGTGTTTGGAGTTAGCATCTGAACAAACCCATAAATCACTTACCGATTCAGCTGGGAACATGGCGCTTATTCATTCAGAGAGCAAAGTGAATGGATTATAGACAAATATGCCCATATCAACATCTAATATTACAAATCACCATTTTTTTTTCTCATCAAATATGAAAACTCAAAACCCAATTATCACTATGACAGTCAAACTCCACTACCACTGCCTCCATTCAAGGCAAGAATGATTTTGGGCAAAATCATCAAATTTGTCAATATTTGTGAATTTTGAAGTTCTATTTAAAACAAAGAGGGATAAGTGGGGAATTGTTTTTTGTATATTTTACTTCATGGGTACAAGAATGATTTTTGGGGAAGAAATAACGTGATATTTTGGCTGTGTTTGGTAAGCTTTTGGGCTTCCATTTCCATTTTATTTTGGAGAAAGATGTTTTGGGAGAAGAATTTGAAAATTAAATAAATTTGGGAGAAGATAATTTGTACTGTAGCAAGTCAAATCATGTCTGAAAGGTGTTGGAAAAATATATTTTGAAAGAAGAATTTAAAGATAAAGTGGTTTGATTTTGTATTTTAGTGAAGATAATTTTCACTGTAGCGGTCAAATCATGTTTGTTAGAGAGAGAAATATTTGAATTTGTTTTGGGGAAATTTTTTGAAAATAGTGTAGAAAAATAATTTTCATTTTGGGGAAAATGTGAAAAGAATTTGAAAACGTTAGCAAACATAGCCTTTATATCTTCAAGAAAATATATCAGGGTTATCTTGGAATAGAAATTCAATACGTTAGTTTTTTATTTGTTAGAAATTTACGTGTAAATTTAGGATTTTATTAAACAATTTAATATTTATTTATGGATCTTAAAAGTTTATTTAGATTGTATTTATCTTAAATATATTTATTTTCATATAAAGATAATCTAATAGTTACAATTGCTGAAATTTAAATATATTAATTTATAATTCAACTAGTAATTGAATTTTGTTTCAACAATTTCTAAGGTTAATATTGTAAAAGTACATCATTCAGTTATAATAGACTTTTGAATTACTAAACAAACTTATTCTTTCAACATTCAGTACTTAGATAGGCCTCTTAATAATTCAGATGTATATTCAACATTCAGCATTCAGTGCTTAATTCTATCAAACGGAACCTTAGTATTATTTTTTTCATAGCAGCATTCATTTACTAAAGATTCTTGTCCATTAGTTTTATGTTCTTCAACCAAATCTCTTGTATCGTTCTTAATAAAAAAAAATCAACCGATCGATCACGCAATCTACAAAGACAAAAATCTCTTTCTTTTATAAATTCAGCAAATTTTTTGTAATTTTAGGGATTATTCATGTGTTATTCAGCAGAAATTCAACAAAAATCCCTTTCTTTCATTATATATATATATATATATATATATATATATATATATATATATATATATATTATTATTTTAGGACCAATACAGCAATATAAACTCATTTTATGAGGCATTCCTTCAGTTTATGACTAATTATATGAAATGAGTAACGTGATAGTCCATCAACATCAATTATGGTCACATTTGAGAAAAATAATAGTCCTACATACAAGCTTTGTACTATATGTGAACATCATGTAGGAAATCAAAAACATTTGTGGAATTTCGGACTCCAAACATAACAACAATGTTCATCAAACTTAAAATACTAATCTAAGACAATAATTTATGCATCTCCCATACTAATTGATCATTAAAGTGTCAAAGAAATTGATACAACTCTATTCATCATAAAAAAATAGTACGCTTTGTTCCACAAGTACGTACAACGTATAAACTAGTAAAATTAGAGTTATTCAGGCATATAGTACTGTGAGTTCATTCATAAAGTATATGTTGTCGATTCATATTATATTCTTTATATTATTGTGGAGCCAATGCATCCATAAAATATCATTTTAAGACACATTTCTTCATTTTAAGACTATTAACATGAATTGAGACAATGTAGGAGGCGATCAACATCGATTATAGCAACATTTGAGTAAAATATTAGCTCTACACATAAGCCTTATACACGTATATGAGTACCATGCATGTAAAATCTCCAACAATTTATGGTGTCTTGTACACTTATTAATATTATGTATGAAATTCAACATACAGTAGAACCTCGATAAATTAATACCCGATAAATTAATAACCCTGCTTAAATAATAAATTTTCCCGGTCCCGATTCAGGGACAACGTGCTAAATTTATTAGATAATACACATTCGAAAATTTTAAGAAGCCCCTGATAATATATAAATTAATAATGCATGAAATTAATTCTTAAATTACATGGTACAACGCATAATATATAGATATATGAAGCCTTAATCAAATATAATTTAATTCTCGCTTGTTTCTTGTAGAAGTTTACATTACCATCAATCTCATCCATCACTTTTCTTAGCATGGTTAGAACTTTCGGTATAGTTTTCTCATAACTCAACATAAATCGTTCTATATATACCATTACTTTTTTAAGAGCTTACATTCGTGAAACGTGCTCTATAGTGCATTGAACGAATGGTACAATGAATAATATACACCTAAGAAAAATGTATTTATTGAAAATAATAATAAAAGTAATTTCATAAACTAATAATTTATTAATTAATGTATAAATTAATAATTATTAATTTATCGATAAGTTAATATTTCGCTAAATTAATGAAATTTTGATGGTCCCAACTGTATTAATTTATAGAGGTTCAACTGTATTTATGACATGTTGTACTCCAAGCGCAACAATAATGCTCACCAACCTTAAAATACTCATCTAAAACATAATTTACGCATCTCCCATACTAACTGATCAATAAAGTGTCAAGGAAAACTCAATTCATCACAAACTATAGTCCGATGTGTGAAACGTGTAAGTACGGTGAATACACATGTGAAGTACATTTCTAAAGTTGATACGGTATCTTCGAATAAACTAGAAAGTAGTTGTTCTTCATTAGTATGGAACATTTATATTATTTTGGGGCCAAGTCAACCTTATGAACTCGATTCATCGCAAAATATAGTACCATGTGTTCAACAGATAAGTGCAATTCATCAAAATATATGGTACACTGTTTTTCCAATTTAAAAGTACGAGTAGAGTTAACCAATAGTATTGTTAGTTGTACAACAAAAGGACAATTATAACAAATACAATATGAACAACCAAGAGTGTAATGTATACTTATATTTTACACAATATGAACAACCAAGAGCAAGAAAAATGAGCTCCAAGAGGAAAATGCATAAGTAATAAATTGCCTAAGTTGTAACTTTGGCTTCTCAAACTTGAGGAAAAAAAACTACAATTTAGCAAATCTAGAAATTATTAAAATAATATTATATTGTACTTTATAATATATTTATCATTAAAAAATATTTTTATATTGTCTTGTTTTTTCGCAAATAAATGTACTAAAGATGAAATTTATCATTTTACTTAGTATTAATAATAACTAAAATAGAAAAAAATAATCATTTTAATTAACATAAAAAATATTTCATAAAGAATTATATTTTTTTAGTGTTTATTAACATATATTAATTAGGTTATTGAAATTTCTTTTATCAAATTTAAACTAATTTTATATACATATTAATTAGTATTGTTAGTTATTAGTATATTAACTAAAATAAAAGGCAAATAATTTTGTAAAACACAAATTATTAAAGATTCAACGTATAAATATATTGTCTAGAATAATACACATTTTTATTAATATTGTATAATACTTGAATATCATGTAGAAAGTATTTAATAAAAAATAATTAAAGATAATATTTTTTTAAAATATAAACAATGTTGTTGGAGTGCAACGTTAAAAGTGGAATGCTAAAACACTGTTCGTTAGTTATATTATAGAATAGACAATCGTTTTTAGACAAACTGTTGGAGATGGCCTTAGATTAAAGTGAATGGCATATTAGACTTTTCACCTGCCCCTAAGGACTGAACTGCACGTGAAACTTTGCATTGGGGACTGATACGTCTATGAAACATCTATAGGGACTGATCCGCTCTTTAATTTTAGCAAGGGTTATCGACTCCCTGGGGGCTTACCTCTGCCCCAAAAATATTTCGTTCGCCAAGGATTATCGACTCCCTGGGGGTTTACAGTTCCCCCTAAACATTTCGCTCGCTAAGGGTTATCGACTCCCTGGGGGCTTACCTCTGCCCCCAAAATATTTCGTTTGCCAAGGGTTATCGACTCCCTGGAGGTTTATCCCACCCAAGGTTG